TGGACCATCAAATCAGTCTGAAACCAAATGTGAATATGGCTACTAAAAGCTGGTGTAGTAATAGTTGGTTACATTAGTATTTTATAGTATTCTAATAAAGAGTGTTTATACTCTGCTTTGTAACAGTAAAATTGTATCTGGAAGCAAAGTTTGTTCACTTTGGGTGTCAAAGTTGAGTTGATCAACTTGGACCATGTTTAGGAGAAAGAACTGTGAGAGAAATGACTTAAAATCATATTAGGTAAGGAATAATTAAAGAAAATGGTTATATATGTATGTATGTATACATATATATCACAAATTGTCAAAATTGTACCCCTTAAACATATGTAATTTTATTGGTCAACTATACTTCAATAAAGCTGGAGAAAAAAGGAAAATGAGGATGTTTAGAGCAGGCCAAGCAAGATATTTGATTTCAGTAAATAAGAATATTTTATTAAATTCCTAATAGAAATATAAACAAGAAATTGAAGTTGCAAGAGGGCAGATTTTTATACAAAAAAGGAAGAAATCAAATGGATGTCACCTTTTAATGCCCAGAAACTGATATCCCTGATGTTTTTGCCAACTTCTCCTAAACTGGCAAAGACTGCAGTATTCATTCATTTCACTAATTGTTATGGCCAGTTGTACATGATGAATTCCATAAAGGCCAGCCATTTGTTTGCAAATTCTTTTAATAAGTTTGCATACATTTGTCTCATTAAATAAAACTAACAGGTTCATTTCGTAAGTTGATTGCATTAGATCTGTTTTCAGATTTTTTAACTAGTACACTAAGTGGCAGTATTAATAATATTAAATAACTCAATTTGTCAGTATTACCAAATTTCTTCCCAACTTAGCCATAAATACCTTCTCTCACATACTCTACATACAGAAGCCTAAGTTGCCACTCTTGTCCCCATTGTCTTTACATTTGCTGAAGTTTTGCTGTACACCGCTATTGTGTTTCTTTTTTTTTTTTTTGAGACGGAGTCTCGCTGTGTCTCCCAGGCTGGAGTGCAGTGGCGTGATCTCGGCTCACTGCAAGCTCCGCCTCCCAGGTTCACGCCATTCTCCCGCCTCAGCCTCCCAAGTAGCTGGGACTACAGGCGCCCGCCACCGTGCCCGGCTAATTTTTTGTATTTTTAGTAGAGACGGGGTTTCACCATGTTAACCAGGATAGGTGTTATTTCTTCTCACCAACAAAGATGGAGTGGAGTCAGTCGAAAAAGAGAGCTACCCTACACAGTCTAGTTCAGGGTAAACGTCAAACACCTCATAAGATAAAATTTTAGTTTCATCCTGTAGACTTGGGATTCTGACACTTGAGCAGGTTGTAATCACCCTGCAACCCTATGCTAGCCTGCATTAGAATACACTGGACTATGGGATATAATCTGTTCTTCTGTCATCTTGGGCTGGTGATATGGTAAGGCCTAAAAACGACAACACAATTTACATTTTTCTAGTGCCTTTATATACTTCTAAAATGTCTAATGTTTTAGCTCTAGGAAAATATTTCTTACCTAATATAATTTGGGCATTGTTTTGCAAATATGCTCAAGTTCTTTGGTTGGCAAATACATGTATCAGTTCATCTCCAGAGAACAGAACCAATATGTTCTGTATGTGTATGTGTTCTCTGTGTGTGTGTGTGTGTGTGTGTATGTATAAGAAGATTGATCACAAGGAGTTGGCTCGTGTGATTATGAAGGCTGGCAAGTCCCAAGATCTGCAGGGTGAGCAGATCCATCAAGCTGATCCAGGAGAGCTGTCAGTGTCGCTTCAGTCTCGGTCCAAAGACCTGAGAACCAGGAGAGCCAATCGTATAGTTTGAGACTGAAGACCAGCAGCCTTGAGACCTAGGAAGAGCCAATGCTTCTGAGTCTGAAGGCTGGAGAAGAACCAATGCCCCAGCTTGAGAGCAGGAGTCATTCTCTCTTCGTCAGCTTTTTTGTTCTATTCAGGCCTTCAATGGATTGGGCGAGGTCCACCCACGTTAGGGAGGATGATCTGCTTTATTCAGTCTACAGATTTAAATGCTAATCTCATCCAAAAACACCCTCACACACACTCAAAATAGTGTTTGATCAAATTTCTGGACATCCTGTGGCCCAGTTAAGTTAACATATAAATAAAACATCACAATACACTTAACAGACCAGGTGTTCTATTGCTCATCGGTGTTTATCGCATGTTATCTGTTTACCAATGTTTTCTTTTCCCTACCCAGGAATTATTTACTTAACATCACTCCTTAGTCATTTGGAATCTACCACACTTTCGTTGATGGTTTCTGCTCAAGACGGTGGTGGGCTCACAGCTGTCATTAATGCCGAAGTCACCATACACATTTTCCAGACAACTCTGGCACCTGCTGAATTTGAAAGGCCTAAGTACACTTTCTTAGTTTATGAAGATGTGCCTGAAGATAGTCCCATTGGAACAGTGAAAGCAAGAGAGCCCCTGAGTAAGTACTTATTTCTTATGCTGCATGGAAGTCCATTATTGGAACATTTCTTGTTTTTTCCTAGGCAGTACAATCTTGAATAATCTTTTTCTTCTTTCCATGCAAGTCAAAACAAGGGAGATAACACAACCTGTGGCTTGTTCTTTGTTCTTCCAACATTGTTTCTATCCATCCCACAATTTTTTTTTCTGATCACAAAAATAATAGGCATTTTTAAAAGAATGTTTAAAACAATACAGATTATAATATACAAAGTATATGTCTCCTATAACCCACTCACCAAAACACACACACATACACACTCACACACAATTTACAAGTTTTTGACAAAAATGCATCCTTCTGTATTTGTTGTTATAGAGCTTCTTTCCCCACTTAGTATATACTGAGTAACTTTCCAGATAGCTGGACGTCATTCTGTCTCCCTAAAAGACAGTTGTATAGTATTTCAACTTAGGAAGGAACAGGAGGGGACCAGGAGGAGGACAAGCTCTTTGGAGAGATAATTCATTTCTAGGAATTTATCCTGCAGAGGTTCCTCTACAAGTGTGAAAAAGTCACACACGGCTATTTGCTCAAGTAATCTGGACTAGCAAGATTTTTTAAATCATTCAAACTGGTAGCAAATGTAAACATAAAACATACCTAAGTTGAAATACTATACAATCTCTCTGGAGAGTATTTGCCCTTCATAGGTAGATATAACAGAGAGACATCAACATAAATTTAACTTGACTTCCTCAAATATATAAAAAAAAGGTATCTGAATTATTTTCTGAATATCTTTCCCTTTTAACTAATGTAAGAAGGATGAAGGAAGATATGAAACCTGTGCCTTGCTCTTTGCCCTTTGGACATTCTTTTCGTACACCAAAAAATTCTTAAAACCACGTGTCCACTTTTCAGCAGGCTTTGGAGAGCAGAGGAAGTAAGACATTGCACAGTAGTCTCCGTAGATGGAGAATATACAATCACGCGTCCTTAACGATGGGAAATATTTTGAGAAATGCCTCATTAGAAAATTTTGTCAGTGTGCAGACGTCACAGAGTATACTCAGATGGTGTGGCCTACCAGACACTTAGGCTAAATGTTATAATCTATTGCTCCTAGGTTGCGAACCTGCACAGCATATTACTGCACTTAATACTGTAGGCAGTTGTACCCCAAAGGTAAGGATTTATGTATGTGAACATAGAAAAGGTACAATAAAATACGGTGTCAGAATCTTACAGAACCATCATAATATATGTGGTCCATCATTGGAGTGTCATTAGGCAGTGGATGACTGTATTAATATTTCAGTTTCTAAGTTTCCAGTGGGTCCACCCTTTTGACATACAGTGGTTGCCCCCTCTCTCTTTTTCAGACTCCTCAGAACCCATCTTTTACAGGATTTCTTCTGGTGATCTCGACGGAAAGTTCTCCATTCACCCGTGGCTGGGCACTATTCGCACCCGGAAGCCCCTGGATCACGAGACGCAGCCGGTGGTTGTGCTCACCGTGCAGGCGCAGCTCGGCAGCGCCCCAGCCTGCAGCAGCACAGAGGTCAATATAACTGTTCTGGATGTCAATGACAACCACCCAGTGTTCCTCAGGACCTCGGATGAGATTAGAATATCGCAGACCACGCCGCCTGGCACAGCCTTGTACCTCGCACATGCGGAAGACAGAGACAGTGGGCGGAACGGACTCCTCCGGTACTCGATCGCCAGCCCGCAGCCGGGCGTCTTTGCCATCGATAGAGCCCTGGGGGTGCTGTTCCTCAACCGCAGCCTGGGCGCGGGCGAGCGCCAGGAGCTCACGCTGATTCTCAGGGCCGAAGACCAAGGCGTGCCTCCTCGGGCAGCCCTGCTGGTGCTGACAGTCATTATCGAGAAACGCGAACACAGCCCATCCTGGACTTTCGAACATTTGGTCTATCAAGTGGAAGTCAGTGAGTCTCTCTCACCCACGACACAAATACTGCAAACACAGGCGCACCCGCTTGGCCCCCAGCGTGTAGCCTCGCCGCTTAGGTACTGGCTGGAACCCAGCGTAGACTCTGCTGTGTTTGGAATCCGCCCTTACACGGGCTGGATTTATTTGCGGCGACAGCTTGACTATGAATCCACCCAAACATATAATTTTAGAGTGTTTGCTTGGATCCCCGAGGACGGATTGTTGCAAAATGTGAGCACTACAGTCACTGTTCATGTCCGGGATGAGAATGACAATTCCCCCACCTTCTTGCATGATGTGTTGTTTCTGAAAGTCGAAGAGAGCCCTGTTCCCCAAGGTGTAATAGGCAAAATTACAGCTATTGACATGGACTATGGAAGGAATGGACAGCTATTATATTTCCTTTTGTCTGATGGAAGATTCTTCAAGATGAATCCTAATACAGGTAGCACTTCATAGTTTCCACCTATTCCTTTAAAATGAGGATTGAGTACTATCACACTGGTCTTTAAGTAAAAATACAAATAAAAAATTAAATATAATCAAGATTGAGAAAACTCAAATCGTTAGGTGTAGCATTAGTGCATACATGCAATTGAAATACGGTTTTTAATAAATACAGTATTCGATTACTGTATTGTGAGATCTTAAAAATGGAGTAAAAATTGAACAGAGTTTCTCCCATAGTAATTCATACTTTCCTTGCATCACATCCACATCTTGCCAATATATGTTTTTTTTTTCTGAACTAGAGGTATAGTCAGAACTGGATTGAATATATCCTTGTGTAAAGGCTAATTTTTCAGCAACCATCCTTTTCCATTTGTAGACATTTTAAAAATGTCAAGATGTATTTTGTGAAATATAAATATCATCAATGTAAAGCTAGAAATGAATTCATTGGTTAAGATTTCAAAATCACTCTCAGAATGTATATCTTTATTCTCATTCTGACAGGGGAACCAGAGGAAAAAGGGGAATAATCACCATGAAATGTTTGAAGTCTGAATTAAGAAATTAAAGATTAAAAGTCACTATATTTTAAAATTTATGTTGTGTAAGTTTACAGGGAGTTTATTTAATCCTTACAATGAAATATATTTATACTGCAAATGCGTAGCCAGGAAACTGAGACTCAGATAGCTCAAGTAGTACCCCCAAAGTCATGCAGCTGGTAAGATGAGAGGAAGCCCCCTCTTTGTGTGGGTCCAGCAGACACCATCTGTGTCATAACCTGGGCAGATGGTGCCGTGCCTTTAGTGGGACAGACTTTACATTCAGTTCTGATGAACTTCAAGCCTTTGTTCTCAAGCCTCTGTTCTGTGAATTAGGAGAAGGTGACCTTTCTCAGCAGATGGAGGTTTTCACAGGGCACATGACTTGCCAAGAAGGTTGCAAGCTGCCTTTCCACTCTCATTCACTCCCTAAGCTGGGACTCCTTCTGACAGGGCAAAACCATACAGGTATACAGGATTGACCCTGCTGGCACTTTACTTCCATATGGCTACTTTTCAAGGTCTTCTATTTCACTTGTTTTTTTCTTTAAAAATAAGCAAACTACAGTTGATTCCCCTTTGATCTTCCTTCCCCTATAAGACCAGGTGTCCATTCCTCATTTCATTGCATGGCTTTAAGCAAGTAGCTTAAGCTCAGAGCTGTTTCCTTACCATGAATACAGGAGACAATTCCTGACATGCCCTGTGCCATGCTTTGAGGGGGAAAGAGCTAAAGAGTATGAAGGGGCTTGGAAGAATATGTGCTTGTAAACTGTTCCTCCTCCCAAGGACAGCAGGGTGCAAGGCAGGGTGGAGGGTGACCTTCAGAGCCTAGGAGACACACCCCCTTTTCATCCAGTTCTCTGGGCAGTCTTCCAAGTGACCAGGAGTTGAGCTCCTGTGGAACCGTACCCTGGTGTCGCCCATCCCCCCCTGCAGCCGGAGCTGCAGTCTTTTACATCCCTGATCTCCAAGGCTGCTGCTTATCCATCAGATTTGCTTTATGAATAAAAATCTGTTTGCCATTCAGAAGTTAAGGTCTTCAGAGAAGAATTACAGTTTGGAATTTAAAAAATGCAATTGTGTATATGATCTATATTAAAACCTCAGAGTAAACACTATAAATATAGCTTATATATTAACAGTAAACAGTTATCATAAACACTGCTTACCAATTCAGCAACTTACCTAAATGAGAATTGTCATTTTTGTTTCTTGTTTCCACTTTCTTTTTATGCAATGCTATTTTATTTGTATTAAGACGAAAAAAGTTTTTAGCCATAGAAATGTTTGTCAGTAGCTGCTTTATGCTCACGTTCTCACAGGTACATTTTTTTTTTCATAAATGATGAGGAAACCAATTCTTGGCAGAGCTCTCTAACAGGAGACAGGCTATTGGACCAAGTGTTTGTCTTCCTACGGTCCCTGGCAATAGGGAGAGGCAGTTAAATGTTATGCCTGGGTTTGCATGACTGACACGTGAGGAAAGTTACCAAAGGTAGTGTAGCTCTAGGCAGAAATATTTGAAATAAAGCTTCTAAAGCATTAAGAGTTTTTAGGAAGTCAGTATCCATTGCTACATGTCTATTTTGTGAGATAAAAAACAAATACCTGTGTACATAAAACACAAACCATTGCCTAAGAAGTATGATTCGATTTTCAGCAAGATGTGTAGCCATTATGTTAAAGTAGTGATAACAGCTGCCATTTATGTAATCATGTATAGCTTGCACAATACTTTTAAATGTGTGATTACATTTCTTCCTGACAGTAGTCCCAGGCTCGGAGGGGCCATTCCATGTCTGAGGTGGGGAAACTGGGGCCCAAATCCAGAACTTGCATCAGAGCTAACGTGCTTTCCATCATCCTGTATAGCAGCATAAGGAGGGATAAGCAGCAGTTTTAAATCTTCTCAATCATTACTAAGTTCCCACAGAGTTTTATCGTTTTTATGAATTCATTTTTTATTAGTTCAAATGATTGATGGATGATAATTTGAAATACAAAGAATAACAAATTTAAAGTGACATTTTCAGGAGCAACTTGAGAAAATTTTTTCAGCAGTACCATAGAGTCCAACTACTATGTAGATGGTCTTAGAAGTCGCATGTTCGCTCAAAGCTTTGTGTTTGGTTTTCCTTCTGGAAATTGTTCTGGCCGCGGTGCGTCTGGTACACAGTGCCTGTGTCTTGTTCTGCTCTGTGCCCCACAGGAGAGTTGATCAATTGGGTGGCACTGGATCGTGAGCACCGGGGGCACCATCAGATGACTGTGCTAGTGACAGACCGCGGCTCCCCACCACGAAATGCCACCATGGCGGTTTATGTCTCAGTTACTGACATCAATGATAACAGGCCCTTCTTCCCCCAGTGTCTGCCTGGAAAGGAGTTACACGTGAAGGTTTGTGAAGTAACCTTGCGATGAAGTTGTAATATCTTAAGTCATTTGTTTTGAGCACCATCTTGTGGTAAAACATGTGAATATATCACAACAGTCTTGGTGTGGCAGAGCATACTTTTTTCTAGAAGACCTAGATATTGTGCACATTAAAAAAAAAAAAAAAAAACTTTTAAGAAGGTAAATGAATCTATGAGCTCTTTGGCATTGTACCTCTAGTTGCTTTCTATTAATAAGTGTAATTCAGCCCTTTGTATACAAACTGAATGGTGCTTCAGGATAATGCTCAGACGTGGCTTGTTTTTCCAGTAGTTTGCATGCATCTCTTTGTGCAGAGCTTCTTAAGGGCAATTGATACATGTCTCTAAGATAGTTACTTAAGGGTAGAGGAACAACGTGTAGCTCTAAAGTGGGTAGGTGGACATCCAGAGATAGTAAAAGATGATCCTTTTGATCACATGCACAAACTTGCAATTATATTTATATTATCTCATCTTTTTCATTTCTGTCTTTTTGTATGTTTTATAATATACATAATAAATTAGAATCTCAGTTCATTCACATAATTAATAAACATGTTTGGACCTACTAATAATTTTTTTAGTAGATGGGTTATAATAATGAAAAGTTTAGAAGCTACTGTTCTAGAACAATTGAATTAGACATTCAAATTGTGCTCAAATATACATATTGAACAACTCAATGAAAGTATTGAGGAACTCACAACTTTAAACCGATCTTCTGAGTTCAGCTTTAAAGAAAAATTCTAACAAAGCAAAATATTATTGTATTATCATTACGCTTTATAATCATATTATTAAAATGTCCTGTGGCTTAACTGGGCAGTTGGACTCTAAACATGTAGTTGAACTTCACATGCACATTTCAATATTCCAGGACAGCTCCTGATAACTGATATGTCCTGTATGAGTTTTGTTTTCTGAATTAAAGGTTCATACTTATTTTAAGCATATTTTAAGCCGTAGCAACTACCTTTCAAAAAATGTCCTAAGAGATGATGAATGAGAATATGCTAGAAATCTTAAAATACACCAAAAATCTAAGATTGTTTAGTAAGTCCAATTTCTTTTTCTTTTGGTCAGAATTAGTTCAGATGCCTCAGATAATTCATTATAATTGAATAAAAGATTTAATTTGTAAGGAGGATTCTTTTCATGGACTTACACCCATATAATTTTTACATGGTATGCATTTGAATTATATGTGGATTTAAGATAGTTTAAAATGTTAAAATGTATAATGTATTCATTCATTTAAAGGTCCACTGATATTTCTTTTTAAACTTTTGTTAACTCATTTGTAAGCTGTTTGTTTTAATGGCAGGTTCTGGAAGGTCAACCAGTAAAAATGTTGGTCACAACTGTGTTTGCAAAGGATCCTGATGAAGGAAATAATGCAGAAGTTATATACTCAGTATCTTCAGGTAAAAATTACTGTTCATACAGGATTAAGAACTTTTAGGATTTCTGCTTTCATTTATCAACTATCCCCTTCTGGGAAAACAGGTTCTATTTTGATTACTTAGAATGCTGTAGTTAATTTTGAAAACACACCAAGTTACAAACAAAATACATTTGCTATTGTCAAGAGCTACTTTCAGTTTTTGAAAAATAATTTATAAGTTTAATAAAAAATCAGAGTAGCTTTTTACATTCCTAATAGAAACCATTCATCTTTAGTGAATAATTTGCAATAATGTGAAGTACAAATTTACTTCTGTTGATAGGAAAGTGTTAGGGGATAAGAATTGGTATTAAGTATGATTAAGAGTTCCAAGCATCCATGAATCTTTATGAAGACTAAATACTTGTAAGGTCGGAGTAAATCATGCCTAGAAAATGTCACATGTATACATATATGTGTGTGTATGGGGAAATTTTATTGAAGTGGGCTTACTATTATGTTTTCTGTTGGAATGTGCAGGCCTCAGATCTTTTCAAGTTATTTACTTTAGTTGGCACTGTGTTTTATAGCACTTTAAAAGACATTTGGTGCTTTGTCATGTTTGATACAAACATAGGACATAGGAAAGAAGAGACAACATTGTCCTTACCCACAGATAATTTGATTGTCTTCATTGAAAACCCAAGAGATGCTATTGGCAACCCTTTGGAATTAATAAAATAGCCAATTTTCTGGGAAAAATGTCAACATGTGAAACTCACTGGTATTTTTAAAACTTAGGAGTTTCCAAAGATCTCATTCACTATGGTGAATTTACAAAGAAAATGAAAGGGTGTAGGGGCATATCTACTGTGAAGCTAATGAAGCTTAATTTTAGGGTGTTTTACTTGCATAGCCACCCCAGGGAGAGGGGAAAGTGGAAAATTTATTTTTCTTAAGGAAGGCCTCTCAAACTATACAAACTTCAAAACAATACAAATAGGATCTCTCTCTATTAGGGGCGTAGAAAAAATTCCAGCATAACTTGTACAAAACTTTCATACAGAAAAGTAAAAAATATTAATGAAGGACATAAAAGAATGAAATGAAAAGCTGTATCATGTTCTTGCTTGGGAAGACTCAATATCCTAAAGATGACAATTCTTAACAAAAATGTAATTATTAATTCAGTATGATTTCAATCAAAATTTCAATGAGGCTTTGATAGAATTTGACAAGCTGACTCTAAAAGTCATGTGGAAGAGCAAAAGACAAGGAATAACTAAGACAATGTCCAAAGAACAAGTGGGAAGCTGGCCCTACCCAGTCTTAATTTATAAAATTTCATAATTAAGACACTATTGTATTGATTCACTCATTAATAAATGGATCAGTTGAAAAGAGTGGGGGTGACACTTTACACGTATGGAAACTTGACATATGAGGGCGTAGAAAATAAATGGGGAAAAGATGGACTACCAATACGTGATGCTGATGTGCCTGGTCACCTACAAGGAAAAATATCTCTACTCTCAGCATATCAAAGATGAGTCTTATTAAATGTAGAAATCTTTAACTCTTACAAAAGAAAATATGAGAGTGTTTATACATATGGCATTGGGAATAAAGAAGATGGTTTAAATAAGAAGAAAAGCAGAAGTTCACAAAGAGGTAGATACATAAAACTACATGAAAATTGAAGACACTACAAAATATGCCATTGTTTACAATTTGATTAGTCAAGTCACAAATTGGGAAAAGATAATTACAGCCCAGTAACCAATACAAAATTAGTATTCAGAATTTATTAAGAACTCCTGCAAACCAATAAGAAAAAGACAAATAAATAATAAAACTGGACAAAGAATATTAACAGACAACTCAAAGAAAAGAAGCCTGAATAATTAAAAAGATTTTTAAAGCATGCCCAGATTCCTTGATATGATGGCTTTGAAGAGCAATGAAGCAATATCTGATAAGATTGGAGATGTGCTTATGCTATACCCTTGCAGTTCTAGTTCTGTTACTCTAGAGGAGCTTTATATGTGCAGAGTGAGATTGTAACAGGATGTTCATTGAAGCATTGTTTCAGTTGTTTGCGTAATATGGTATATTCACAGAATACTCTACAGCAATGAAAATGAATACAGTAGAGTTTCATACATGGCAGTGTGGATAAATATTAAATCGAAAGTTAAGCAAGGAAGGCAAAAATTTTACAGAAGATAAAAAGAATTTGACGCAAACAGCAGCTTTGAGTTCGTTGCATTGCCTTTCATTGGTAAATTTACATATGCAGTTCTTCTCAATACTTCCGTGGTCAGGCAGCCAAATTCTTCTCTCGTGTTTCTATGCCCATATAAACCATCCACATTTATTTAGCTATAAATGTCTTCCCAAGTTTTCAGGACACTTGAATGGTGGATTATACAGACGTAGTGAGCCTGCAGCAGATCCACATTTGGAGACAGCCTTTCCTCTGTGTTCCTGCTGTCCCCTCCAGAGACTCTCCCCCATCCTCCCCCTCTTTTTTTGTCTTCCCTTTTGTTACTTCTGAAATTTCTCTTTTTATTGTCTTAGTTTATTTTAATCTGGTCCTTGTGAGGAAGAAAAACTGGCTTTGCAGTCATGCATTCAACAATCTTCCTCTGACTATGAGGTCAGTTAGGTCAATAAGATCTTTATATCTTTTTTTCCTGTTTTATTTTGGGGTGGAGAAGACAACATAGTGTGCCTGTGAAAGACAATGTTGGTGAAGAGGGAAGATACACACACGGCTATAATCCTGCTATAATACCAGTATTTAAAAGCAAGCAAAGCCATGGTATATGTTATTTATGGATGTATGGACTGGAAAGATAAACCTCAACTTTAGTTACAAAAGTGACTTTCTAAAGAGGAGGGGAATGAGATTTGGAGCTGTATACAGATCCACTCCTTTTCCATTTCTTGGAAAAATTTGAAGAAATATTGAAAATTAATCAATCTAAGAAGTGATACTTTAATGTTCAGGTATTTGTGAATGTTTGAAATTTTTTTTAAAAAAAATCAGCTTCGAAAATGATACTTGAGGCACATCGATACAAAAATATGAAGATATACATTACATTATTCCTATCTTTATTTTTTATCTGATAGTAAAATAGAAGTGACTACAAAATATATGGTAAAATAATGAGATGAAAATCGGTATAAGGGGAATAAAGGTATGTATCATATTCATGAATGCATTCTATAGTATTTCTACGAGAATAAAATCAATGGGTTAAAGCATAGAAATCACAACTAATAAATGTTACATAATTGCCTGCTCGCATGCTATGAGTTTCTTGAAGACAGGGCTTCTTTTTTATTTGCCCTTATATCCCTAATAACTGGTAAAGTATTTGGTCCATAGTAATGAATCAGCAACTGTTGAACTAAAGAATGGAGGGGAGCTTCTAATCAGGATTTTTCTGAGGTTTGAAATATTCAGATTTTAAATCTGTTATTTAACTCAAAACCCTGTGATACCAATTTGAATTATAAGCATCAATATGAATGTGTAGATGTGTGCCTGTGTATTCTCTGTCCACTGAAAAGGCCTAGAAATGATGACAAACCCAGAAACAATGAGCACCCCACCCCTAATGTCCCAAATATGTTCTCCCAAAACCATTTTCCACCAAAAGGAACCAGGAGTCCTTGGAGAAATGGTGATGTCAGGTCACAATCAGGAAATCTACAAGATGAGTCTGCACCATTTTGTCATACCAGTTACAAGGAGGCTACTAAACTGTGTTAGGATCATGGAAAGAGATCCAGGAACCAACTTTAAGCAGATCCCAATGTTCAGCGATGGGACAATATGAGCATCAATAAGGATAATAATGGCAATATATTGAAACACCACTAATATGTTTAAATTATGCTTAATGATTTCCAAAACAAAAGCAAGACAAAATGTTACTTATCATAATTGGAACATTGGTGGATGTTAGTGAGCCAACTCAGTATTTCAAAAACTGTTAAATAAAATTTAAGTTATCAAGCATTTATCCTGTGTTTCTTATAATGAACTCTTTCTCTGAAAGTTTCTATTTATTGAAATATTCCAGCTAGTATATGAAAAAGGGATGATAAAGCAGAATGCAGTATATATTGAGTATCTTTTGTCTAAAATGCTTGGGACCAGAAGTGTTTCAGGTTTTGGATTTTTTTTTGGTGGGGTTTTTTTTATTGGAATATTTGCATACATATAATGAGATATCTTGGGGATGAGACCCAAGTCTAAACATGAAATTCATTTTTTTATAGACATCTATATGCATAGCCTGAAGGTAATTTCATTCAACACTTTTTATAACTGTGCATGAAACAAAGTTTTGACTGTGTTTTGACTGCAACCCATCTGATGAATCAGGTGTAGAGCTTTCCACTTGTAGTGAGCATTACGTCAGTATTCAAAAAGTTTTGAATTTTGGAATATTTTGGATCTCATATTTTTGGATTTGGGATGTCAACTTGTATTATACTTCACAATACTTAAAGAATAATTAATGGATCTAGGCTGTGCATCAGTTGGGGGCCAACATCAAAAACAACGAGCTTTTGGCCCATGCCCATAGTCCCAGCTGTTTGGGAGGCCAAGATGTGAGGATCACTTGCGACCATGAACTCCAGGCTGCAGTGAGCTATCCTGGCACAATTGTGCTCTAGCCTGGGTGACAGAGAGAGACCTCATCGTTGTTTTGTTTTTATTTTTATTTATTTACTTTTAAGGCAGCTAGACCTATGCCTCTGAAGGGAAAAACACTATTTGTGAAGTAGTCTTGCAAAAAAAAAAAAAAATCAAACCTGACCTGAATCTTGTCAGTTCCCTAGATCTACCTCCCAATTTAAGGAAAACACAGAGAATAGAGGAATATATTATGCTACATGTTGGAGATGCAACAGCAAATCTAGATCATGGAGAATGTGAGGATACAAGGTCCAGTTTATTCAACGAATGAATTACAAGAACAGATAAAGAGATGGGTGGCAGGAATCCATAGATTAAAGAAATATGCAATATATGGACTTTATTTTGATTTTAATGTAAACAAATAAGAAAAATAAGGAGTATTTATGGGATGATTGAAAATTTGAAAACTTACCAGATATTTGGTGATGTTAGTGAATCATTATTAATTTTTAAGGTATAGTATGGTACTGTGATTGTGTTAAAAGTATTTCTTATTTTTTAGAGATGCATTTTGAAATATATACAGAAGAAATAATATGATTTCTGGAACTTACTTCAAAAAAATGGGAGAAGAGAAGTAAATACATGGGGAGTATATGAAATAAGATTGGCCATGAGTTGATCATTGTTGAAGCTAGGTGGTGGACTCATGAAAGTTTATTATACCATTTTATTCACTTTTTTATATGCTTGACATTTTCCATAATAAAACTTTTTAAAAACTGATGTTTCTTGTCTACTTTTAGTGTCATTTTTGTGTTCATACTCTCATAGAATTTAAAGCAAATAAATCTTTCAAATGATCAATGTATTGGATTAATTGATTCTCTGTTTTCTGCATTGTCAATTAACATTCATTTCTTAATTTTCTTATGTGTGTATAGAAGATAGTTCTGAGCACTTTAAGATTGATGCCAACAGTGGTGAAATAAGAACAACCACAGTACTTTCATATGATTATAGACCTTCTTACAGAATGACTGTCATTGCCACTGACCAGGGAGTGCCTCCTCTTCAAGGACAGGCAGTTCTTAATATTCAGGTAATGTCGTCACCATAAAATATGGAGGAACATCTACATATTTCATTTGACTTTTATTACAAGTTTATAGAGTGAAGATACATGTAATATGTATGTATGTGAATATGTATGTATGTGACATGAATACTGTTTTAAGATGGCATTGCACATAGCATTCTTAGCTTTTTGCTATCACTAGAGAAATGATTTAGACCCAAATTATTTTGCAACTTAGCTTTGTACAGTTCTTGACAAGATAATCATCACTTGGCATTTATGTTGCTTTGTTTATAATGGACAAAAGGTATCTTTTCTTGTAGTTATTCTTAATATCAAGGACCTGGTAAATTTGCAGGAGAAACTTGTATATAAACAAATGGCCATATAATAAATGACATAGTTTTTTGTAATTTTTTTAAATTTGGAAAAGTAACTTCAGATTCATATTTTAAGGCTTCACTTGAATCATAATTGGGAAGTTGTGGGAAGTCTCCATAATGGGAAAAATATTACACCAACCACTCAAAAAGAAGATGACTGTGCATATAGTTAGTTTCTTTGGGCATGCATGTGGTAATCAGAAATATTAATACAGGTATATACAATAACCAAGGATATATATCCACAAGAACTCTGTTTCCAAATTATATTCTTTACTGCTTAAGGCTATGTGGGTTAAGAGAAAAATATACATGGTCATACCTCCAGTTTCTTGTTTTAGACAAACAAAGACATATGATACTTAAAGGTACACAGATGTTGTCACTATGGCTAGATTGATCTGTAGTATTTAAAAGAAGTTTGAGAACTAGCTATCCTGCATTCCCATTGAAGAATCCACAAGGCTACAGTTCAGCTTAACTATAGCATGGCTTTACCAAACTGTCATTTCACACAATACAGCAAACTGGGAAATAGAAAATTCTGTAGCTCTTATCTCTAAATATTAGCAGTTTTTGATCTTCTGAGACATACTGGAATTATATAATATAAAACTGACATTTTTCTCACTCATTAACATATGATCACATACATGGAAGGAAATTGCTTTCAAAATAATATTATTACATGTGTTGACCAAACTGTTTTAAAAATACCCCAAATTAATATCTCTTTTATTCATATTTCAGGTGATCCCACTATCCAAAGGGAGAGCAATCGTGTCTCAGAATATTAGACATTTAGTTATACCAGAAAATTTGAAGCCTGCAAAAATAATGAGCTTGATAAAGTCACCTGATCACCTTCAACAACATTATAATGGAAAGTTACATTTTAGTATTGTTGCAGATGATACGAATGGACACTTTGAAATAGACAGCTCAACCGGAGACTTGTTTCTTTCTAAGGAACTTGATTATGAGACGACATCTCATTATCTTTTCAGAGTAATTACTACAGACCATAGCAAAAATCTTGCCCTGAGTAGCACAGTCTTCCTTAGTATTGATGTGGAAGATCAGAATGACCATTCCCCATCTTTCCAGGATGAGTTCATTGTGATCAGCATAGAGGAGAATGTTCCCATAGGAACCCTGGTGTATGTCTTCAATGCCAAAGATGGTGATGGCAGTTTTTTGAACAGTAGAATACAATACTACATTGAATCCCACAACCCTGGCATGAATCCATTTCTCATCCACCCCTCATTTGGCACACTAGTCACTGTGTCCCCTCTTGACAGAGAGAGCATTCCAACTGTCATCCTGACAGTAACAGCGTCTGATCAGGCTGTGAATGTGACAGACCGGCGTCTGAGATCACTGACAGCACAAATAGTGATTTTGGATGTAAATGACCACAACCCCACTTTTATGTCTTTCCCCATTGCCCATGTCAAAGAGGATGTCACAGTGGGCTCCTTGGTGCACCATATAATTGCTCACGATCCAGATGAAGGAAGGAATGGAAAAGTAACATACAGCATCCTCTCAGGAAATGAAAATATGGCGTTTATGCTAGATGAGTCATCAGGTACAGTGCCTGTATGTCACTTTTAAAAATATTTTATTTTATTGTGGTAAGAAAACATGAGACCTACCCTCCTGACAAAGTTTTAAGTGTACAATACATTGTTGTTGACTATGGGTTGAATGTTGCACAGCGTATATCTAGAGATTATTCACCTTGCTTAACTGAAACTTTAGTATCTCCCATTTTCCCTTCCATCCAACCTCTGACAACCAGCACTCTTTGATTCCATAAATTAGACTATTTTAGATACTTCATGTAAATTTAATAATGGAGTTTTGTCTTTTTGTGACCAGTTTATTTTACCTAGCAGAATGTCCTCAAGATTTATCCATACTGTCACGTCTTGCAGAATGTCTTTTTTAAGGCTGAATTGTCTTCAATTGTATGCACATACCACATTTTCTTTATCCATTCATCTTCCGATTAACATTTTTAGGTTGTTTCCACATCTTAGCTATTGTGGATGGTGCTGCAGTAAACATGGGCGTGCTACTCTCTCTTCAAGATCCTGATTTCAATTCTTTTGTATAAATATCCAAAAGTGGAGTTGCTGGGCCATATGGTAGTACTATTTTTATTTTTGGAGGAACATCCATGCTATTTTCCATAGTGACTGTAACATTTTGAATTCTCACCAACAGCGTACAAGGGTTCCAAGTTCTCTACTCCCTCCCCAATACTTGTTGTCTTTTTTTTTTTCAATGATAGCTATCCTAACAGGTATGAGTGATATCTCATTGTGGTTTTGACTTGCATTTCTCAAATAATTCGTGACACTGAGCATTTTTTCATATATCTATTAGCTGTTGTATGTCTTTTTTGGAGATGTTTCTATTCAAGTCATTTGTTCATTTTAAAATTAGGTTATTTGGTTTTTTTATGTTTAGTTGTAGGAGTTTTTAAATATATATTCTGGATATTAACCCCTCATCAGATAGTTGGTTTACAAATACTTTCTTCCATTCTGTAGGTTGCCTTTTTCTTTGCTGTGCAGAAGCTTCTTAATTGTATGTAGTCCCCCTTGTTTATTTTTGATTTGTAGTCTGTGTTTTTGTTGTCTGCCTGTGAAATAATTGCGAACGCTCAAGTCACAAAACTTTCCCTTCTGTGTTTCCTTCTAGGACCTTTATAGTTTCAGGTATTACACTGAAGTCTTTAATCCATTTTATTTTGTATTTTTTTTATGGTGTAAAATAAAGATACAACTTCATTCTTTTGCATGTGGATATCCAGTTTCCCCACACCATTTGTTGAAGAGATTAGCCTTTTTCTAATGTGTATTATTGGAAACTTTGTTCAAGATCAATTGACTACATACAGGTGGATTTATTTCTGGGCTCTCTACACTGTTCCATTGGCCTAAATGTTTGTCCTATGCCAATACCATACTGTTTTGATTATGGCAGCTTTGTAACATATCAAAGCCAGGAAGTGTGATACCGTTAGCTTTGCTCTTCCTCAAGGTTATTTTGACTATTTGGGATTCTTTGAGATTCCATTTGAATTGTCATATTATTTTTTTCTATTTCTGCAACAAATGCCACTGAGATTTTGGTAGAGATTGCATTGAATCTGTAGATCAGTTTGGGTAGTATGAACATTTTAATAATATTAGACCTTTCACTCCATGAACATACATGTCTTTCCATTTGTATCTTCTTTAATTTCTTTCATCATTGTTTTGTGGTTTTCAATATACAAGATATTCACCTCCTTAGTTAGCTTTATTCCTGAGTGTTTTATTTTACTCATTTTTGTGCTATTGTCAATGGAGTTGTTTTTTTTTTCTTCTTCTTTTTTTTTAAAAAAATTATTATTATACTTTAAGTTCTAGGGTACATGTGCATAATGTGCAGGTTTGTTACTTATGTATACTTGTGCCATGTTGGTGTGCTGCACCCATCAACTCATCAGCACCCATCAACT